ACCAAGTAAAATAGTAGTTAGGAATTATGCAGGGAATAGATTGAAAGTAAATGGTTCCTGTGAATTACTTTGTAGAGTGAATGAAAAGACGCAAAATTAAAATTTTATAATTATAACCACTGATCAAAATTCAGTACCAATTTTGGGTATTGACAGTATACAATCTTTAGACTTGGTAAGGTTGAATGTTGGTGGAATAACGAATGCACTGGATAAAAGTAAAATAATTACACAGCATGCTGATCTGTTTGAAGGTGTTGGTAAGATAAAAATGAATCCAGTTCATTTTAAATTACGAGAAAATTATGAACCGGTAGTGGTGCCCTGTCGTAAAATTCCCTATCAACAAATAGAAAAACTGAAACTTAAATTAAAAAGAATGGTTAAAGATGGAATTGTAAGCCCCATCAATGAACCCACAGAATTTGTGAATCCCATAGTTATTGTAAATAAGCCAAACGGCAAGATTAGGATATGTTTAGACCCACAAAACCTAAACAAAGCTATAGTTAGGGAGCATTACCAATTGCCTACATTTGAGGAATTAACACATGATTTAAAAGGCATGAAATATTTTTCGGTGCTTGACGCGAATAAGGGATTTTGGCAAATAACTCTAAGTAAAGAGTCTGCAAAGTTAACTACGTTTGCAACTCCATTTGGCAGGTTTCAATTCTTGAGATTACCATTTGGTTTGTCCTGTGCACCAGAAATGTTTCATAGGGTTTTCACAGAAATTTTTAGAGACATAGCAGGGGTAAAAACATATATTGATGATTTAATAATTAATCTATGCAAAAACCAAAGAAGATCATGACACAATTTTGAGTAAGGTATTAAATAGAGTTAAGGAATCAGGTATTAAATTAAATAAAGAAAAATGCAGATTTGGGATAAGCGAAATTAAATATGTAGGGTATGTGTTGACAGAATCAGGCATTAAACCAGGTAGCGACAAAATTGAAGCTATTCGGCAGATACCTAGTCCACAAAATTCAAAAGAATTGTCTCGATTTTTAGGAATGGTAACATATTTATCTAAATTCATTCCTAATTTATCAAAATTAACGTATAATCTTAGACAACTTACAAAAAAGGGGAGAGAGTGGCTGTGATCAGAGATACACGAGAGAGAATTTAACAAACTAAAGACAACACTAAGTAGTAATCCTGTACTTCAATATTATGACCCAAACGAACCTATTACTCTTTCGGTAGATAGTTCCAAATATGATCTGGGTGCAGTCATTTTACAAAAAGAAGGTCCCATTGCATATGCATCCAAATCATTAACGGACGCCCAAGTCCAATATGCTCAGATAGAGAAAGAGATGTTAGCAATAGTTTTTGGATGCCAGCGCTTCCATCAATATTTATATGGCAAAACATTCACAGTGGAAAGTGATCATAAACCACTTGAAACTATATGCAAGAAAGCACTAAGCAAATGTCCCTTACGGTTACAGAGATTATGTTAAATCTGCAAATGTACCAATTCGAAGTCAAATATAAGCCAGGTTCGCAACTTTACCTTTCTGATGCGCTATCGAGAACTAGTTACAATGATATCAATTTCGAAATAAAGGAGTCAGAAATCGAAGCACAACTTAATGCCATTGAATATATCAGTATATCAAAAAAGCAATGTAATAGGGTAGCGGACGAAACAAGTGAAGATGCAGAATTAATGGAATTAAGTAAGGTAAGGTAAGGGTTGGCCCGAGTCAAAGAGAGAACTTAAAGATAGCATAAAACCTTATTGGAAATACAGACATGAGTTAGTTTTAGCTAGAAATCTAATTTTTTAAAATCAAGAAATAGTAATTCCAAAATCCTTAAGATCCGAAATGATTAGTCGTCTCCATTATCAACATATGGGTATTAGTAAAACTATATTAAGAGCAAAAGAACCAATATTTTGGCCATTTATTACCAAGGAGGTGACCGATATAGTTAGTAACTGTCAGGTATGCCTCAAATACCAAAATAGTCAACAAAAAGAATCCTTAATAACTAAAGAGATACCGACGAGACCTTGGCAATTTGTTGCTGCAGATTTGTTTCATTACAAAAACAAGGAATATTTATTGGTAGTAGATTTTTTTTCTAAATTTCCTGAATTGGCGTCCCTTAATAATGATACCACCTATGAAATAATAATACATAATATGAAGTCAATATTTGCTCGACATTGTAAACCTGAGAAGTTATTTACAGACAATGGTCCGCAATTTGTAAACAAAAATTTCCAAAAGTTCATGAGTGAATGGGAAATAATCCATCAAACCAGTACCCCAACTTACCCCCAATCAAATGGATTTATTGAACGACACGTTCAAACCATAAAAAGGCTAGTAAAGAAAACTATTCAGGATAGCAAAGATGTATATTTGGCATTATTAGAATACAGAAACAGTCCAATTAATAAATACCTACCGTCTCCAGCTAAATTACTTTTTGGTCGACGTTTAAAAGGTCACTTACCTGTTCATGAGAATCTCTTAAAACTAGATTACAATATTGACACTTACATAAAAGAACTAAAAAGAAATCAGCATGGCCAAGAACATTACTATAATAAAAACTTTAAAGATCTAAAAGTATTGCAACCTGATGATGAGATCATGATTCAAAGTAAAAGTAAATCGTGGGAACCAGGCAAAATAATTAGAATAGACAATGATCGTCCTCGATCATATGTAGTTCAAACCGATAAAGACGAAAAGCATTATATTAGAAATCGTAAATTCCTTCGTAAGTGTGAAAAAACAAATGTTTTGCAAGATCACATTTATGATGAGATACTTGATAGTTTTATACCTATGAATAAAAATGTAGAAAACCAACCTAATATAGAAACGGAGAATGTAAATGGGAGAGAAATAGAAAGTAAGGAAAATCAAAGAGAGGTAGTACGTGAAAAAGACAATACAGTGACAAGGTGCGGGAGAACAGTAAGAAAACCCATACGATTGAAAGATTTTGTCTAAATACCATGTGATTGTTTTGTATTACAGTATTAGACATAAGTAGAATTAAGTTTTCATTTGTAAAGGTATTTTTAAGAAAGGGAGATGTTATAGGTATGATGTAATGTGTGTTGCCTACCAGCAACCAGCGTATACTGAACCACGACATGACCTCGGTAGAGACACATGTGAACGGCTGGCAATGAATTAATGTAATGGGATAGTTAAATAAACTTAAAATATATAAGTTGAGTATTTTTATTAAAATAACAACATAACAGTCTTTATTTCGTCGCCAAATCCATAGTCTGAATGTAAGAATTAAAAATTATTATAAATTAGGCTATTTAGGTATTTGTTGCTTTTTCGTACAAGTTTATAGAGATTTTATCTGCTTTATCAGTTTTTAAATTTTTGTTTACAACACATTTACCCCGTAAAAATAAAGGATTGGGGTAAATGTAATATATCAAAATCACATTTACCCCTTAAGCTCTTACATTTGCCCCTTTCTTTTTTTCACGTTAAGATGGTTAGATATTTGGTGCGTTCGGTATTGCAAATCTGAACCCACTTTTCTCACTTTTTGTTCGAAACGTGTTCGGAAATTGCACTCCGTTTTCTTCGTTCGCTCTAATCTCCGTTCGTTAATGTACTTTGCGAACACTCCGATCTTCCTCTGTTAGCTCCGGATAAAATCACGGAGCTAACGGAGCATGCACGAAATGTCATAAAAATAACCTAAAACTTTCTGCAGCATTGTTATTGTATCGTGCGTTCATAACCTTCACAAGGCGTTGTTGTTTTTTGGCAGTTATTTTGGTTTTTATTTTACGTTTTATAAAACATGGAACAGGTGCAAGTTTTAGACGATACGACAGAATTGCGTAACATTGATGGACAAATTTATCTTTACCATAAAACTAGTAAGTACTTAAGTAATGTTATGTAAATAATACCATATAATTTTTAGCGGACAGCTATGCTGCCGTGTTAATCCAAAAGGGCGTATCTGCAATTTTATCAGAAAGTGAGTTAATACGTTTATATGTGTCTTCACACGCAATTCTATCATTCTATTAAGATCGTCAGGCGTATCTACATATACTTTGGATGCAAAACGTGAATAAAAAAAGGGCGTATCTACAATTGAAGATGTTTTGTTAAACAGAAAAGTCGTATGTGATGTTGTTATGTAGAATGGGCGTATCTACATAATTTTTCGTTAGTTACGCCGTTTTCTCTTAACATAACCCTGCAATTTTACCGCCAATTTATATGCAATGTATTCTAACCTATATTTTTTGTGTTGGGTGTGTGTGTAAGCTACTCCGGGTTTAAATAGTTTCAGTGTGGTAGCTCTTGTGAATTATGGAAAATAGAGGTAAGAAGCTAGTCAGCCTTGCATTAAATAAGGAACTTGCTAATAAAATTAGTGACTTTAAACGTAACAAAGCGCGATTTAAAGATGCAGAAGTTTGTGACCCAGATTATATACCGGATGTTGAATGTTATTCAGTAAAAGAACAAAGTAACAGTGAAACAATTAGTAACGCAGCAAGTACTGCTGGGTTAAAAAGTGGTACGGGAGTATCAGTATCGTTAGCACCAAAAGTAAACAAAATAAACGTTTTAAGTCATGTAATCATCAACCCATCCATTCATCAGTTTCCAATTTATGCTGGCAATGTTAATGAAGTTCCTATAGTTAATGAAGGACTTGTTAATAGTGATAGTCAATTCATTTCCTCCTTGTTAGATGAAATGTTGGATAACGTAATCCGGCAAGTATGCAACAAAAAAGGTGAAGTCCGAAAGCGAAAAACCTATGCACAATCAGTAAAAGAAAGAATGCAAATAAAATCGCAGAATATTAAACAAAAACACAATCTGCAAGGATCTTGTAAAGCACAATGTAAAAAGAAGTGCGGAAAGATAATTGATAACAACCATCGACGTATCATAAATACGCAATATTGGGACATGTCTAAACATGAACAAAAGAATTTTATTTTACATAGTGCAACCATAATGGGCATTAAAAGAAACACTACTGGAAGATCCGATTCAAGAAGGTCGAGAACCTTTAATTATTTTTTCAAGGATGCCAAGGGTGAGCCACAAAATGTTTGTAAAACATTTTTCCTTGGCACTTTAGGATATGCAGCTAGCAACGATAAAGTTGTAAGAAATGTTTTATCAAAAGCACAAAGCACATCACTGTCAGCAAAAGCCGATGGACGTGGCAAACACAACTCAAAGAAAATTGATCGAAAGATTATAGTTGAGCATATCGAATCATTTGGTCCAACCATTTCCCATTACCGAAGGGAGCATGCACCACAAACAAGATACCTTCCAAGCGACATAAGTATCAAGTTGATGTATGATGATTTTAAGAAAAAACACCCAAACGTTGTATTTTCGTATTATCTATATCGAGAAGTTGTAAGCAGTATGAGTATCAGCTTTGCCAAGTTAGGGCATGAAGAATGCTGGACGTGTGAAAAGATGGAGCAACACGGAAAGAATACTGGACACACGAAGAATAATTTGAACTTTGAATGTGAGGAGTGTACACGATGGAATACACATCATAATAAGTATACAGAATCTCGCAAACGATACGAAATTGATTCATCATCGATTCAAGACCGAAACAAATTAATAATTACGGTAGATTTACAAAAGGTAGTTCATCCAGTTTTATTATTCTTTATTAATTATTGTATTTTTAAGGTGATCATGCTTCCGAGATGCGATACATTTAAGGAAATTCTCTTCACTCCGAGAATCATTGCATTTAATGAGAGTTTCGTGGTTGCTGGTAAAAATAAAGTAATTGCTCCCGTCGCAGTAGTTTGGCACGAGGCCATTGCAGGACGGTCCAAAGAAGACATTATTAGTAGCTTTTATGCGTACCTCTTGTCAATCCGAGATATAGAACACCTTGTTATATGGCTGGACAATTGTTCAGCCCAAAACAAAAATTGGTGTCTGTATTCTTTTCTTGTTTACATTGTAAATTCCGATGAGGTACGCCTTCAATCCCTGGAATTGCGATACTTTGAACCTGGTCATACATTCATGGCGGCTGACTCGTTCCATCACCGTGTTGAAGTTGCTCTTAAACGAAAGGGTAAAATATATGACTTTTTAGACTACGTAGACGCTATAAAGAGTGTGCCAGCAAAAGTTATAGAAATGAGTATCGAAAATTTTTATCTCTGGAAAGATAATTGTTCACAATTTAAACTTAACAAAATTACCCCACGCCCATACATCTCTGAAATGGTAGAAGTTAGTTTTGCGAGAGGAGACAGAACAATAAGTTATAAAACAGATTTCAATCAGCCTGCTGTGAAACTCAATTTTTTAAAAGCGGCGTGCCAGAAAAGCGGAATTATTAAACCAGACTGCAAAACTGCTCCCAGAGGAATTTCGAAGGACAGAAAAGACTTAATCATTAGTAAATTAGGCAGCATTATGCCTACAAATCGATTAAATTTTTGGAAAAATATACCCGTACATCAAATACCACCTACCGATCTTGATGAGGACTAGTTAAGAATAGAATTTTTTTTTCTTTTATGTACTTTTTATTAGTCAATTTACTCTTTAAATTGTTGTCTTCGTTCAAATTCTCAGAAATAAAATTGTACAAAAGCCAAGAAACTTTTTTTTTATAGTTACGCCCTATTCGGTAATGAAAATCAGTACATTTGTTAGGTTAAAAAGTCGTATCTATCAAAAGTCATATATTTAGCAAAAATTATAAACCGTGGTTAATATTGTTAGAAACTTAACCTAATTTGTCGTGACATTAGCAAATAACGATACCTGTAACTTAAAACCACTTGTTGGCAATATAAAAATTGTAAAACAACAAATATCTCAAAAGTAAAATTTTGTCAGTTACGCCCTTTTGGATTAACACGGCAGTATGAACAGGTAGTGTTTCAAGAAGAGCAGGAGCGAGCACCTGACAACCAAGACTTACCCGATACACAAGAAGCGGATAAATCAGCTGGTATGTATATACTAACAGCACCATGTCTTTTTTACAAATTTATATGTAGATAAAACGGAAAAAAAAACTTGGACGAATGAAGCTACAGTTTTGCTAATTAAGTTAGTGAAAGAGTATGACTCGGATTTTCAAAATTCAGTGAAAAAGCATGTCTGGATAAAAATTTCAAAGCGTTTAATAATGTTGCATACACAAGTGACATGGCAACAGTGCGACTCTAAATGGAAGAGTTTGATGAAAACATATCGAGATATAAAGGAGCATAATGCAACTTCGGGCAAAAATAGAAGAAGGTGGGAATACTTTGAAATAATGAATGATATTTTATACAAAAAACCAGAAATTGAAGCAGTGGCCACCTGTAGTAGCCACACCGGTCTTGTTAAAAGAACAGATAAAGAAAACAATTCATCTGGTCTCAACGAATTGAAAAGAAAGGATACAGAAGAAAAATCTGATTGTAGTGCTAGTAGCAGTGGTAGTGCCTCCACCTCTGGGTCTAAGAAGTTTAAAACCACTTTCACTAAAAAACGAGAATTGCAGATGAATGCAGTGGAAAGAAGACATCGTGAACGTCTACAACGACAAGATCGCTTCCTGAAGACATTTGAAGATTATGTCAACATTTTAAAAAAGCAGGATGACGATAATTAAAAAGTAGACATAGGTACTTATGTATATATTAGTAATAGTTTGTTTGTTGTAAGAATTTATGGTTTGTTTTGTTTGTGCTTATTATTGGAATCGTATTTTATTTATTTATTCATTTTATTTGTTATATTGTTTATTTATTATATTATTAATCTATCACTAACGCATTCATTATCATTGTCCTTTTTATAATAGCTTGGTTTTCCTCAAATTGGTCTACATGTGGCTCGTGTAAAATATCATTTCTTATTTCTTGCACCTCATTGTCCATTACAATGTTTTCTGGTAAATCATTATTAAAGATACACAAATTGTGTAGAATACATGAACTAACTATTAATAGGGACATTAAATCTAACCTTATTGTCTCCATATATTTCAAACGACGAAATCGACCTTTTAAATACCCAAAGGCATTTTCGATGTCGACCCTACACTGTGACAGTTTGTAATTAAAATTCATTTGTGCATTGGTTAAGCCCCCTAAATTCTTAAAACCAACCATTAACGTTGTAGATAATTTATACGCTAGATCGCCAATTAAATGGCTATCTTGAGGAAATTCTATCTCATTATTGATAATGCGGTAGTACAAATCAGATTTTCTAAACATCCCCATGTCATGCATAGATCCAGGTTCACCAGCATACACATCGAGAAACACTTTGGAGTGGTCACAAACACCTTGCAACAAAACAGAATGGTAATTTTTCCTGTTGCAATAAGAATTTGGATGTTCCTGTGGTTTTTTAATTCTTATGTGGCACTCATCAATTGCTCCGATTATTCCTATAATATAAAAATTGATCTATATATTTTATAAATTGAATTGCACCAACCTGGAAAGCCATTTACACTTTGAAATTCATTCATTATTCTTTGGCATCGTGCCCCAATTGGCCATGAAATTATGTGATGTACATTATTTACACGCAATAAGTGTTTACAAGTTCTATACAATACGTCCCAACATGTACTTTTCGTAATGCCGAATCTATCAGCAACAGATCTAAAATTTATGGTGCCATAGATATTCTCTCGGATATTCTGTATGAATAGTATAATTACCGAAATGACTCTATGTTTGCTAAACACCAAAGCGTAATGATTATTTGTTTTTCTAGTGGAATCGCTTGTCGACCACAGTGGACTTCTTGCGGTACCACATCATGCACCATCCCTACTAACAGTTCAAAGATAGCAGGTCCAACGCGAAAATGAGTCTTAAATTGGTGATCAGAATATGGAGGCACTATTTCTTCTCCATAATCTACTACCTTAGGAACGGTACCTGACTCATCTTCCTCATCTGATCCAAAAAACATATCATCTGCTATACTTATGACCATGATAAATGCGTTTTCCATTTTAATTAACAGAAATGTAAAAATAACACCGCAAATTGATATACCAAACAAATACGACATAAAGAATTCTTGGTTATGTTATCAAATTTACCCGCTCATAGCGTTCGGTAATAACATTTTGTTCAAAGTTTTCTTGAAATCACGTGATTAAAACTCGCTCTGATCTGTGACAACTCAGTTGACGTAAAACCGAACGAAGTAATTATAAGAAAAAGGGAACGAAAGATCCCAAATATCTCTTTGAAAATTTAGAGCTAGCAATAAGGGAATGTCAAGCGAGACATATGACCATATATAAGGCCTCTACAACATATAACATACCGTACAGTACTATATACAGTCGCGTAAAAAATCTTCGAGGGGTCAAGAAAAACTGTAAAAGGTCGATTAACTGCTTTAACGAGCAAACAAGAAGATGAATTGGCCGCAGGGTTGACTACTTTGGAAAAATGGGGATTCGGTCTTTCCAAAAAGGAAGTTCTGGAACAAGTAGCATTCTTTGTTAAAGAGTGTAAGCTGAAAACTCCTTTTAAAGATTGGATACCCGGAGATGACTGGTTCGCAGGCTTTAAAAAAAGGCACAATCTGAGCATTAAGGTACCCCAGTCGGTAGAGTATGCTAGAAAAAAAGCTACCGATCCATTTATTATTTATAATTACTTTCGTATTTTAAAAGAAACGCTCGAAGAGCTTGATCTAGAAAACAAGCCCGCACAAATATGGAACCTAGATGAGAGTAGCTTTTCAATCGACCCTAGTAAAACAAAAGTGGTTGGTAAACGTGGGAAACCCTGTTCGAGAGTAACAAGTACGCCCGGCCGAGAAAATACAACAGTTTGCTTTTTGGCAAGTGCTGCAGGAGAAAAGGCACCGCCCTTAATCATTTTTAAAGGTGTCAATATATGGGACCAGTGGCAAGCTCCTGATAATGTATTCCCTGGAATGTCGTATGCTGCCAGTAAAAAGGGTTGGATGGACGCCGAAATCTTTTTATAGTATTTTACATTATTAGCCAGGTAAGTGGGTTTTTACTGGCGATAGGAGAAGTTGACTGGCGAGCCGTTAGGCGAGCCTGTCATCTCCTAGAGCCAGTAAAAACTATTACCTGGCGTATAATGTACAATATTTTATTTGTTACTCATTTGTAAACGTAAATAATTAGTTCTTAAATTGATCTTGAAGAAATGTCTAAAATATCATGTGATCCATGTAACAGAGACTTCGCATTAATTCTGGCCAATGAAATTACTAGATTACTAACTTGTAAAATTTTTACAGGTCTGCTGTCAGTTTTACAAGTCTGCTGTCAGTTTTACAAGTCAGTAGCGTTTAAACATGACGTTTACCCGTTTGCGTTTTGTCTTGTTAATCAACGTTTACAACTGAGTAACAAATAAAATTATTTTAAACGTACCGTTATTCCAGCATTAGGTCCAGAAAGACCTCAACTCATTGTGTATGATGGACATAAAACGCATGTCACCACGGCCATAGTAAATTTGGCAAATGAACAAAATATAACTATTATTAAGTTGCCACCTCATACAACTCACCTGCTTCAGCCACTGGACCTGTCAGTATTGTAGCGGAACACCCTTATGGGTGCAGGGCTGGTTTCGGTTCGTCGGCAATGGGAGGGAAAATAAAACCCACGTATGCTGGTTGTAGTTTATGTCGAGAAACGCTTAACGAATAAACACACTAATTACATAAGGACATTGACAAGTGACGACGCTTACCTTAACGACCTTACATTAAAATTTGTACCTAAAAATAATTAGGCGAAACTACAGTAATTATAAAATGGTTCGTGCAGCGAAATCAACACTTAGGAATACAATGGCCCCATAATCGATAGGTGAACGAAAGTAAGGGGTTATCTTACACATAGATTTCGAGTTTGAACGTTTAGTTTGGCGCAACGACCTCTCTAGGTTAAGTTACGTACAATTGGTAATGTTGAAAAGAATTCTTTAAATTTGGCGCGTTCCACTATANCGATGTCCATCAACGAATTGAAATAATTGCGCGCCTAAACCTACGTCGCTGCTGTCTGTTTGTACGTGCCACGGATATTCTCGATTTGGGTGATAAAGAAGGGTACCTTCTTTTAAGGAATTTTTCATTTTGTTAAATGCATCCTCTTGCTCGCCGTCCCACCTCCATCGTTGATCTTTTTTCAGTAGAGCTGTTAACGGTGCAGATATTCTTGCGAAATTTTCACAAAACTGTCGATCGTAATTGCAGAGCCCCAGGAATCGTTGTAGTTCTTTGGCGTTTCTTGGCCGCGAATATTCTTCGATGGCTTGAGTTCGTTGCGGATCCGGTCGCATACCCTGGGAATCCACTATATAACCGAGCAACTGGATTTCATTACACAAAAACTGGCATTTTCCTTCTCTTACAGTAAGACCCGCCTCTAATAACCTTTCGAAAACCAATTCAAGGTGGTGCAAATGTTCTTCTGGATCCCTCGATAATATAAAGAAATCGTCGATATAAGGGATTACAAACTT